TACAAACTCTGGTCATCAACTCTGGTTTTCAGTTGAAATTGGAATTGTTAATTTACACAATAATAAGATTGCATTGACGATTTTTTCTTAACTCGCAAAAATCTTCAAACAATTTGCTATCGATTGGTGATAAAATTTTTTGGAAATAATGAAATAGAGGGGATACGCCTTTTTTTTCACAGGTGATTTTCCAAAAATTTATTTTAAAAAAAGTACTAACTAGCAAATGTTTTTTATTAGCTCGCAATTTTCTTCAAAACTACTTCAATGAGGAAAAAAATAAAAATTTGGAATATCTGTACATGAGGGGCTAATTGATCGGATCTGTCTCTCTTGGTTGCTTGCCTCTCTCTATCTCGAGTGAGGATATAACCATAACGAATAGAAGAAGAAGAAGAAGAAGAAGAATTGTTGTTTGTCAACCATCAAATGTGATGATTCGAATTGACTTGACGTGAGTTGAGCGATCACGGAAGTAGATATCTGGTAGATATGGAGGATTTGGATTTATATCGACGATACGTGGACGATCTCCGAGTGTACGCGAGGGAGAATGGGATCACGGAAGCGGAAACGAAGAGGATTTTTGAGGAGTGCTTCAGGGAGTTGGAGGGTAGTCGTGTTAGGAAGGTTCGTGGGATGCTGAGGGGCCTCAAAATCCTGGTCCTGGGGGTTTTGACGGTGATCATTTGCTCAATGGGGTTGTACAATCACCCGTCGACTCATAGTATTTTTCTGAGGAATATGCAGAGTTTTATTTATCCTGGGCTGACGGTGTTTCGACAGTTTGCTGTGCCTATTATCCAGAGATATCCAATCTTAACGGGTAATTGCGATTGTGACTGATGTTTGATTTTGGTTCATGAATTTTAATTGAAGGAATTTAAAAAAATATGTTGATTAATTACTGGTTAGTGAAATAGGTAGATAGATCATTCCCCCATATGCACCTACGAAAAAATTTAAAGTTTTCTAATTTTTGAATTTTTCAAAATTTTTAAAATTTTTTCATTAGTTTTAGGTCGATTCTAATGAAATGTTCAATAGAAAAAGTCAATAGAATTCGATTTTTCTATATAACTTATTCTCTTCAGATATTTTCTGTAGAATTTCCTCGGCTCAAATTTTCTAAGTTGTTTGATTATCTTGATGAGATGAAAACAAAACTTGAAAGAAAATTTGAGCCAAAAAAATTCTATAGAAAAATCGAAGTCTAATGACTTTTTCTATTGAACATTTCAACAGAATCGGCCAAAACTGATAGAGTTCAATAGAAATTCAGTAGAATTTTCTAACGAATTCGCTAGGTTTTTCGATTAAATTGTTTCATCCGTGCTTCGGACGTTCAAAAATGTTAATCAAAAACTCACTTTGATGATATTGAATTATAACTAGTAGAATGGTTCCTTGTGAGTAGAAAAAAATTGGGAACTTAGGAGAGAATAGGGTGCAATGAAGCGCTTGTAATCGTCAATAAGTAGAAATCGGGAGAAATCCAATAATTTCTTCAATTCCTGCTTCATTTTTAAGGTATTTGTTAGGCTTTAGGATGTATCATTCAGGTAGGAGATATTTATGCTTTAAGAAGATTCATTTCACCTTCCCTTATTCATTCATAATTTTTAAAAACTTAGAAGTTGTGGAACTTTAGATTTCGTTTTAGAATAAAACAGTTCTCAGGAGGATTTACTCATCTCTCTTAAATTCGAAACTGTTCCTCCAAAACTCATTATCCAATTCCGTAACTCATTCCGTTCCTAATTTAAATACATCAATCTTGAAAATTGATAACTTACGAGAGAATAAGAAGAAGAATCAATGTTCCACTCGATTGTATTAATTCACTCTTTTATTTAGAACTCTACGATGAATCCTGTCTGGTCGAAAATCCTTTCTTCAAGGTAGCTGACATGGATTGCTGGCCATGCAGTACTGTCCAATCAGTGCCTGACATGACCGGCTGGAATATGACTAAAACATTTAATGTTGGAATGCCATTTACGAGAGCTGAAAGTGATAGCAATGGAGATCTGAACAGTATTATTAGTATGTATAAGAGACACTCGGAGATTTTCAATGTCGATGCCAGGAGAATCTCCTCAAATAATCCTCTTTACAAGTATGTGGAAATCATTCATAACGAGTAAATTAGTTTTGAAAAACAATCAACTATCATCTTCTACTGGTATCATCATTATTGTTGCAGGACAATAAAAAATGTGATAGAGAAAAGACTTGACGAGAATCCGTCCAAATTCTTGAATACTCACATATCGTGGAGGCTGAATCGTATGAGGCCAAGTAGACTCCTCCGAAAATTAATGCCGAAGCCTTTAGGCACACCAAATTGGTGGAGTCAGAGCACGGAAAGATTTTTGTTTATTGATGAACCCAAAGCGGATGAATATATTTTGGTAAATATTGAAAGTGATGTAGTCTATAAATAAAATGAATAATTTAAGGATGTGATAATATTTTAATTACTCCTGAAGGTTCATCATCATGTAACAATTTCTTTTATTGTTTCTGAACTTTTCGGAACCTGAAAACACTTGAGAAAAAATGCAGAAAAATGGTTGAAAGGTGATGAAACTTCTTGAGTCATTAAATCATATGAAGTTCCTGTTTTTTATCATATGATGAAAAACAGGAACTTCATGCTATTTTCCGTCATGGCGATGAATTGTTTGCGCGAAAAATGAAGAAATCGTGAAAATTCTCTGAAAAAGGGCAATAAATTCTTAATATTACGCATTAAAAAATCTATTGATTTTCCACTGCTAATTCTATTTCTTGCTTGTTGATTTTTGTTGAAACTTGTGCCACTTTTGTAGCTCTTGAGCATTAATTTTTCAATTTTTTTCTTGACTTTTGTAATAAAGATGAAAGAAACTCCTGGGAAGAAAACTTGGAAAATTTATGATCCAGAATTTCGGTAGAAAAAATCTCATTTCATTGACTTTCAATCTGATAGCCCTTTTTTCCATCAAAATTGACATAAAAGAATTAGAATCTTCTGTTGGAAACTCACTAGTTTTCAATTGATGTTTCTAAAACGTGATTCATTGGACTTTTCATTATACGTGTGAAAAAAATTCACAGAAAAATCTATCGCGTTAGCTAGACAATTCTGTTGGATTTCCATTGAACTTTCTATTACTCTATTGAAGTTTCTATTAGTTTTTGGCCGATTCTATTGAAATGTTCAATGGAAAATATTCTATAGAAAAAGTCAATAGACTTCGATTTTTCTATACAACTTATTCTATTGAGATATTTCCTATGGAATTTCCGGTTCAAATTTTCCAAGTTCTTTCGTTTCATTTTAAAAAATACAATAAAAAAAACATAGAAAATTTAAACCGAGGAAGTTCTATAAAAAATGTCTCAATAGAATAAGTTGTATAGAATCATCAAATTCTATTGACTTTTTCTTTTAAACATTTCAATAGGCCAAAAATTAATAGAAAGTTCAATAGAAAACCAATAAAATTTTCTAGCAAATTCGCTATTTTTCTATTAAATTTTTTTGTGCGTGTAGCATTGAAAATTCATTGAAGAACAATTAATCTATTATTTTGCAGCCCAATCCCGAATGCAGTAATGTTATTCTAAGGTCCACAAGTGGTTCAAGACTGATTAAAATGATGCCGAGCCCTGAGTGCCAACGGAATTGCAAATCTTCTGTGGTCCTGCTATCCTCTCACCACACACGTACGTCATCATTTTATCCGGACTACTGGAACAAGTATTAATTTCTCACTCGTTTATCAATTTTCAGTGTGGTACAACTGGTGGTACTGGAAACCAATAAGTCTCCCAGCAATCAACTCAACTGAAATCTCAATCATTTACCTCACTTCGTTCTGTTGACGAATGACAAATCCTTTTTATCGTGATTTTTTTTTCAATTTCCAAAGATAAATCCATCGATAACTCAAGATATTTAGATATTAGATATTTTCAAGTGATTTATTAGGAATAAGTGTACAGATCTATCACTTCTTTTTGTATATCCGTCTTTTATTTTTCGATATTTGAACTAAGAACTCAGAATATCTCATCCCAAGTACATAAGTTTCGAGATGAATTCCGCATTTATAATGTTTCATACAATCACTTAAATTATTTATCGTACAGTTGATTGACTCAACGCTCAACGTTGGTTACAGCAAGCTCTTTACACCTGAGATCAAGTGCACTATTGTTGATGATTTAGCAGCGAAGTAGTAAGACGGTTCAAGTCGAAATTTGCGAGTTTTTTCAGACGAATAGCAAACATTTTTGTGGTCGTGTCAGGAGTCGATTTAGATAAAAATTTCGTCTTCGAAAAACGTTCGATAAACCAAGATGAACCGTTTCTACCGCTTCGCTACTGAATTATAACTGGCAATTGATGTATTTTGGTTTTGGGTGATTGTGCGTCGCAGCTGGAAGATGAAAATTCCTCAGTCGATTTCAATAATTAAGTAAAACGATGGGCATAATATTCGACGCACCGAGAAACGAAGAAAAAACTTTTATTTAATTCGGAATACATGTTTTTCTACCTAATAAATTATGCATCATGCAAATTTTGCTGAACTTTGTACAGAATTTTCTCATACGGCAAGAACCTAAATCTAAAGAGTCCAAACTTTAAATTTATTTAGAATTTAGTCAGAGGTTTTTATCCCATTATTTGTGATTTTGAACTCTCTGAAAGTGTTTATTCAGGAGATTTTTTTGATTTTTTTGTAGATCTTATTTTGATTGAAAAAAAATCTCCACACAAATATCGGCCTATTTTTCAGATCTCGAGATATTGGAGAAAAATAGACATTTCACTGGGCAATTCTATTGCATTTTCGATTGGAATTCAATCCGAACTTCATATTTTTCGGACATACGATTCAAAAAAATTCAACGGAGCATTTTTTTAATTGAAATGTTCGAGAGAAAATATTTTATAGAAAGAATTAATCACTTTGATCTTTTTTTGTTTGTTGACTTACATAAACTTATTCTGTTGATACTGTTTTTAGAGAAATTCCACGACCTAATTTTTTTATCTTTTATACTTGAACCTTTTCAGTGAGAAAAAAATGCAATGAAAAAAAAACTGAAAAAATTAATGCTGAGGAATCCCCATGGAAAATATCTTAATCAAATAATTATACATAAAAATCAAAATGTATCAACATTCTTCTATTAAATATTTTCTATTCAGAAAGGCTGCGAACTCTTCGAACCGAATTTCAATAGAATTTCCCAGCGAAAGCATTAAATTTTTCTCTCAAATGTTCGTTAATTTTTCACTAATAAAATCGCTTAAACTGAGAATTTTGAATTCTCAATCCGTCGTAATAAAAATAAATCAGAATGAGACGAAAAAACCTCAGTGGGAATGTGAAGGGATTTAAACAAAGTTCAATCAAACTTCAGTCGCAGTCTTTTGAACAGTCTGTTGAAGAAGTCCTTGAAGTATACAGGAACTAAAGATAACACTGCAAATATGCATAAAACAATCATACTAGACCAAGACCATGTGTCACTGGAGGACGTCAACTTGTTGAGCGTCTGTCCAGCTTGAATGGCGAGAAAAGAGGGTGGTGCAACACCGAAAAACGTCCCTAGGGAGAACGGAATCATCGGAACTCCGATGACAGGACTCGCCAGATTTATGAACCAGTTTGGGAATAGTGGAGTCATCCTGAGGAACAACATGTAGTTGAATAGATTGTCCTTGTGTTCTCTCACTGTCTGCGCCCATTGGTTCGCTCTATCCGGGAAATACTTGAATAATAATTTTCTTCCCAGTAGGGATGACAGGAGGTAACAGAGTGAGGCTCCAACTGCACTGCAGGTGCAGACGAGGAGGAGTGCGAGGTAGAATGGAAACAGAAATCCTGAGAGAATTGACAGGAATATCGATCCAGGAATTGCGAATGTTTGCAAGCTGAAAGATAATTTTCTTATGTAAGGAATTATTCTTCTGATGTGGTACACAATAGGGAACTTGCATGAAGCTTAATTCTTTCTAATTCCCCTATTCAGACATTCTTCACAACATATGGATAGCTAAACGGCAAAAATTATGAAGAAATATTGTCGAGATGTTTTATGATAATCGAAAAAACTATTTTTTTGCAAAAGTAAGACTTGTTTGAGAATTCTGTCTTTTTTCTCTCAGTGCATCGAACAATATTAAAAATTATGCACTGGAATTTCTAGTAAGAGTCTTGGAAATTTCTAACAAGTAACATTTCCACTGAAATTTCAAGGACTTTTGCCACAGAAAATTCGCAATTTCGTGGAAAAATCCGTAGGAACTTTAAATTTCAGTTTAATTATTCCGGGGAAATTAATGAAAAATCAGGAAATTTTCTTCACAAATCCTGAAATTCCAAAAATTTTAAAGGAATTCCTTGAAAATTCAAGTAGATGCATTTGAAAATTTATATAAATTGTGTAATTTCCGTCTTCCTGCCTCAAAAAAACGAGACTTCACTTGAATTTTCGAAGGAACTGGAAATTCGATTGACTTTTTCCCCTTAAATTGAATTCAGGGTCTTTTTCCCGAAAATTTAGCCAATTTTCTTCACCTGTGTACGACGAGTGTCGGAATTTTTGGCCTGTGGGACTCCTATAGGTCGACACACCTAGGGGTCAATGAACCCTTTTTCCACGAGTGGCGAATGCTATTTTTCCTCACCATGTGTAAATAGTGAAATTTTGTAAATATCACTTTACACACAGCGTGATGAAAACAAAATTAAGACTCAATACACACTGTTAAAAATTTTCGTCTGAATTTTCTGTGTCAAATCCTGGAAATTTTTATCATGTTTCATTTCCACTGAAATTTCAGGAAATCTTGTCATTGAAAAATCAAATATTCCATTGATTTTTTGTTTTAATCATCTGAAAATCAATAAAATACTTGAATTTTCAGGCGAATTATTCTGTGAAAATTCGGGGGAAAATTAAAAATTCATGTTATTTTGTTTCTGAATATTCATGTTCGATTGAAAATTCAGTGGAGTTGTAAAATTTCCATCTCACTCCCACTGAAAACTCATGAATTCCTTTGAATTCTACCTAAAACTGGAAATTTCATAACCATTTTTTAGTTCTTGATTTGAAGTACTTGATTTTTCAGCTCAAATTTCCGGTAAAAATTGGGAAAAATCAGGGAAATTCAGGGAAAAATTGAAAATTCATGTCATTTTATTTCTGCATATTCATGTTCCATTGAAAATTGAATCAAGTTGTGAAATTTCCGTCTCACTTCCACAGAAAATTCATGAATATTCTTGAATTCTTTGTAAAAATCGACATTTCATAGCCATTTTTCCCCGAAATCGGACTCAATGTCACTCTCATGAGAGTTACGACCATATTTTCCATTAAATTTCTAAAAATTCCTAACAGTACAGGTCCAATCGAAATCAAGTGAAATTTTCTAGCGAAACCGCTAGCTTTCTTGATATTTTTGAGGCATGTCCTACGAAATTGTTTTCCATATTCCTCAAATTCACAGACATTTATCAAAAACTCACTCTGAATTTTCTTTTACTGATCCCGTTTCATCATTTCGTTGTAACTCATTTAATGTCTAGTTTCGTTTATCTATCTGATGGCAAAGGATACAAGATGTATGTGATGAAGACACCAGCAAGAACTTCCGCGTAATAAAGCTCTTTGTATCTCTCCAACAGTCTCCCAAGATTTTTGGCATCCTCTATGTGGAGGGGAAGTTTCATATGTTTCTTCTCATGTCTACGAAGACCAAAATATTACCATTATTAATGATCAATAGCCAGTTCATTAAATTAACGAGTGTGTGAATTTCGTTCCCTTACTCTTCCAATTCAGGAAAATTAGTGTAGACATAAAATAGTGCTGTCAATGAGGATAAGAAAATAAGAGCCACTGTGAGGATAGCCCTTCGAGTTGAAGTCTCCTCTCCAGTACTTATCGAACCTGAATCACAAATAATCCTTGATTAATTCCCAATGAAATCCCTGGATATTATGATCCCATTGGTCCACGTGTTCAATGGGTTCTCCTTGAGACACTCCATTAGTAGTACAAGTAACCTCAATCTTTGCTCCGAAATGAAATTGAGATAAAGGACATCTCTACCATAAAACAAAATATTTCCGAATAATTTTGAGAAATGAAATAAAAACAAATTATTACTATTAATTATCAGCCTTCTCATTATGTCAACAGAGACAACTAAAGTGTCAAGGTTAGGTCAATATGTCACAATCTGCAAAAACAGTTGATTCATGAGAGAAAATTTGTCTTCAATTGATTGAAAAATCTACCAACAACAATCGAAGATATTCAACATTTAACTCCACTACATTCAGCTCATATTTTTCACTATCTCTTGTTAAAATTCGAAATTTGCATAAATGTCAACAAATTTAACGTTCGTGAATCTTCCAACAAACAACAGGAAAATTATAAAAATTACTTGGTCGTGAATTCCGTCTCGTTGTAGTACTCATTTTCTGGATAATTGTACACAATGAATTATCGAAATAATTACTCTTCAATTGACACTCCTCACTAGTGTCAATTTGAATGAATGTTGCTTGTTCAAGAACGGATATAACTATCAAGGCGCTACTGTCGTTTACCGCGCGCACCATCGTCGATACCATTTTTTCAACTGTGTTAGTTTTCAAATATAGTTGAAAAGATTTTTAAGGATTTCTACGGAAACAGAATTTTTTTTGAGGAGAATGAGATCTCTGTGGCTGTTTAAGATCGAAAGGCAAATCATTCTGCGCGGTTATCTGTGACCTACGACATCACGACTGCATTATCAGTTCTATAGAGTCCGATCAGAGGGTGGGAGGGGACCTTTATATCATAAATATTTGTTTGGTGTTTTGAGGAGGGTAATCAGCGATGAAGAAGTATCGTGTTGATCCATTGATGAGTTTAATTAATGGCGACTCGGCGATTTAACTTGGAATTTCTCACAATTGGACGTTTTACTCGTGCTGTTATTGGCCTGTGAACTTCGTTAGGAATTTTCATAGCTGTCGATTTCATGTGACTTTGTGGGAAGGAATTGAAGGAATATAGCGCAATTTTCATTAAGTTATTTTATGGTGATACTTGGCAATCATGCGCGCTGTCACGCACGACCATCTTCAAGTGAGGGCTGTAACGCACAATAACATCCTCGTAGTCATGGAAATCATTGGTTGATCCGTCAACCAATCGCAAGGCGAATAAAAAGTTAACAATCAAAACAATCATTCATTGTCGATCAACTTTATGAAAGAGGAACCTGCAAGTGGCCTTTATAATGATGCTTGCTTCTCCAATAGTTGAAGGATATAACAAAAACGATCAGAAGAGGAAGAAATTGCTTCCAACATTTCCTAGAAAAAACTAGCGAATTCGCAAATCCATGTCTTTGCAACGAAGATTTTTCAATAGCGAAATTTCAATTACTGAATTTTCAACTGACAATATTTTAACTATAACATTTCAATTACGACATTTCAACTACTTGAATCATTATACCACAAACAAGAGATATTCTTAGAAAATCTATCACGAATGTTCTTGAAACATCAACGATCAAACAGAAAATCTGTGTTAACAAATCCGTGATTTCCATTCTAAGTTATGAATTGGAGCAATAATTGTTTTTTTGTTCTGTATTATTTCTTGCGTTGTGCGTTCAAACAATAATCGAAATATAGTAAAATTGAGTTAATTGAAAATTACATTAAAAAATCCAAATTGAATTATCAACATTGAATTATTGATTTTTTACAATTGTTAATTGCAAGAAAAAATCGTCTATATATCACATTAATTAGTGATACGCCAGTTAAGTTGTTAAATTGAGTTGGATGACGTTGTCTACTAAAAAACAAACAAACAAAATCAAATGAAAATGGGAAAATTTTGGCTAATTACTGAAAATGCAATATCTCAAATGAAATCAGTTGAAATATCGTAGTTGACAAGTCGCTTGGTTGAAAAGACGTGCTACCGAATTCGCTCGAGAATTCTACAGGATTTATTTTCAACTTTCTATTTGTTTTTGGCCAATTCTATTGAAATATTCAATAGAGAATATTCTACAAAAAAAGTGAATAGAATTCGAGGTTGCTATAACACTTATTCTATTGAATTATTTTCTACAGAATTTCCTCAGCTCAAATTTTTCAAATGTTTTGTTTGATTTTCTTCATAAAAAAAGAACAAAAGTGGAATAAAAAAAATTGGAAAAATGTGAGCCGAGGAAATTCTACAGAAAATAATTCAATAGAATAAGTTGTATAGAAAAATTGAATTCCATTGGCCTTTTCTATAGAATATTTTCTACTGAATATTGCAATAGAATTGTCTAGCGAATTCGCTAGGTTTCTCTATAACATTTTTTCGTGCATGTCCATTTTGAGTATTACGGATCGACTTGGTATTTTCTTGTTTTTTGGTGCGTAGAATCCGAATTTGAAGGTCGTTTTCCCAACAAACAATTCCCAAAAAGGTATCTACAATTTAATTGTTGAAACTGAGTTCGAAAAATCGACATCTATTGACTTCTTGCTATCAACTTTGCGAAATAACCCAAATAAATAAAGGAAGTGGAAAAGAATGTTTATAAAAATATCCCCATCTTCTTTAACTTCAAAGAATATCAATCAAAAACTTGAACTCCAATTAAGAAAAATGAAACAATTATTAAGCCATGATTTTGAACGTTTATTTCTCTCCCACAACCGTAAAAAAATCACATACGAGCTACAGGTTTCAAGCCAAGAATGAAGAAGCACTGTTCAAGTAGAATAGCTGTCGCCTCGGCCAACAGAATCCTCCCCATATTAACTTTGACAATCTCCCCAGTACTGTTCTTCTCCACGCAGTAACAGTTGTCGTAAAATTCTGAGAAAGCACATGCTATTTCGTAACAAAGTTCGCAGAGGGGATGGAGGTACAGGTCTTTAGTGATCCTGAGGAGAACATCAGGGAACTTGAGGAGTACTTTGGCTAATTTCCACTCCTTCTCGTGGTCAAGGGTCAGAGGAGTTGTCTCGATGGCCTTTTTTATCTGCTCTGGTGTGATGTTGGCAGCTCTGGCTATGGATCTGATCCTTGTTAACTGATACAGAAGGTAAACTGCAGTATTGCCTTTGTCCTCCAACATCTTGTCGAATGAGAAGATGTACTCGTGATTGCGATTGTGGGATAAATCAGCGTATTTTATGCAGCCGTAGGCCACTGCCTCCTGCGCTGCTTTCAATTCTTTAGGGGTTAGTTCCTTGTCACGTCCCTTCGCCTTGAGTGTATCTAGGGCCTTCTTGAGCCCTTCGTCGAGTAGATCGAGTAGTTTGACTGTATCACCTGACCTAGTCTTGAATTTTTTCTTATCCTCACCGAGTACAACTCCAAATGTTACGTGACTGAATCTTTGATCTAGAGAAATGATTGAAAACATTAGATGAGATGTTTTCAAATTGATGGGTCTCGAAAAATGACTTTAAAGCCCGGGTGGACCATCTTTCGAACGTTATCTCAATTGTTTTTCCATCTTTATAATCTAAAATATGTCACAATTTCCATTGGATTTTACATCACGCAGGAGTCCCTAAAAATTATGATTGTAGAATCAAAAAAAGTAGAAAAAAACTGAGCTTTTTCAAAGAGCGTTTTCAATAAAGATTAAGAAATAAGTCCGATAGAGAGGAAATAGTGAATGAATAATTTATCATGGTAACTAACGACGTAACAGTCATTTGATACATCAAATTATTAATTTGCAATTTCTCCTCTATTGAGTTTATTTCCCAAGATTATTCAAAAACGGTCTTTGATAATATTCAGCTTTTTTTCAACGGTTTTTTGGTTGTACAATCATAATTTTTGGAGGTTCTAGGGCTATGTAAAACTGAATAGCAATTGGAGATCATTTCAGATGATCAAAATAAAAAAACAACCAGGATCACGTTCGAAAGATAATCTACCCGGGCCTTAAACCATCATTCAATGGATTCAGAACATTTTTTGTGGTTATCGAGGACAACCATTTGTGAAAAAATGAGAAAATTCTAAAAATTAATGTATGAATTGAATGTTAATTAATGTTGATGGATAAGGCTCAACAATACCTACAGAAAAATGATTAGATTCCATCGATTGATTAGCAAACAATTAAAGCAAAGCTTGGACACATGCATACACACATGAAAAAATCGTATAGAAATTTTCTATACGCAATCCGTATAGAAAATTTCTATAGGATTTTCGTATATGATATTCAGATATTTCTATACGGATATTTTTTATACAAATTATTTCTATACGATTTCTATAGGTTTGATCCTATACGACCCACTGCCACATGTATAGAAACATTTCGTATAGAGTTGCGACATTTCTCTACGTTTTTCTCCCGAGCGTTTAGACATCTTTTGTATGAAAACTAAACTTTATGTAAAAATTTATATACAGAAATAATTCGTATAGAGAATATTCGTATAGAAATATTCGAATATCATATAAGGAAATCCTATAGAATTTCTATACGCAATCCGCATAGAAAATTTCTATAGGATTTTTTCATACGTGTACATACATGAATCCAAGCTTTGGCAGAACTGAAAATTGCATTTTCGGGCTTTTTGGATCACAATGAGTTGCCATAACACGAAAAATTCGAAACTTGAATGTGAACGATCATAAGGCTTCTACTCAGAATTAAAAACCAACCAAACACGTAAATTTAATTCCTTTACCTAGGATACTTACCCTTAAGTATTTCAGCCCGTTTACCACAGCTCTCGAGCATCTGGAAATGAACCGCCTGGCCAGCATCGGTGACATAAATCAGCCACTCTCCCCTTTCATTCTCGATTCGATGTTTCAAAGTAGCCATATCAGAAGTATCATACGTGAATCCGCCATCAGACTTGACTATCGTCAGGGGAATCCCTGTGTTTGGTTTCTCCCCCCACATGATCTTCCTCCCCTCATCCTCCTCCAGGAGCCCCCTAGACTCCAGATCCTTGACAATCTCCTCCATCATCTTCTGGTAGAAGGACTCACCCCTCTCGATGAGCTTCACATCCAGGCGTTTGTACAGTTTATCAAATTCCTTCCTCGAAACATCGCATATCATGTTCCAGGCTTTTGTGATGTCTGGCTCGAAGGCTTGGAGTTTCACAACACAAGCATATGCTCGTTTTTTAAATTCTTCGTCTGTATCGAACCGAGTCTTCGATTCTTTGTAGAAACTCTGGAGATCGGAAATTGGTGGGGACACTGATAAATAGTCTGGGAATTTGTCCTGGAGATGGGCGATTAACATTCCGAATTGAGTTCCCCAGTCACCCACGTGATTCAGCCTCAACACGTCGTGTCCCAAGTACTCCAGGAGCCTAGCAATACTCTCTCCAATGATTGTGGACCTCAAATGACCCACGTGCATCTCCTTGGCGATGTTTGGACTCGAGAAATCCACGACTATCCTCTGCTTATCGACGGCTGGGGGCGGAACTCTGCCAGCCTTCAGCAGGTTCTTGAGGGCATCTAATCCGAAGTCTCGTTTCAAGAAGATGTTTATGAAGCCTGGGCCAGCGATCTCCAGTTTTTCGATGAGTGGGGAGGGAGAGACGTTGGGGAAAATTGCGCTGGCCACGTCTCGAGGTGAGGCTTTTGTACCTGTTGGGAATAAATAGAGAGTGATGTGATGTGGAGTCAAATTAAAATTGGGATCCATAAAGGGTGAATTGTTCAGCGATTGGACTCTCGACATAATTGCAATGATAGGTTCATTCATTTATGAGACATCCATGCCAACTCAGTTCAATTCAGCTCAAAATTGTGTTGTTGATTTTGATCGTCCTTTGGCAGGAAAAAAATCTATTCACTTTTTATTCATCCTTGGGTAAAAATTCAATTTCGAAAAAGGTAAATCGAGAAATGGGTTATTAAATGCTCTACTAATGCGTTAGTATTTTTACTCAGAAAATATATGAAAGGAAAAACGATAAGAGTTTTTTATTCATCAAAATCCATAGATTTGTTCGCACGACAGGTTTTAGAATATTTAAGCTTTTATCGTGACTGACAGACAATCGAGTACTGTTACACGGTTGAAAATTTGTGACTGATATTTCGGAAACATTTCTCTGAAATTTTCATCTAGTGGTAGCTCCACCGAAATTTCGAGAAATTTCGTCATTCAAGATCTACAATTTTATGAAAAAGATGAATAAAAAATATAGATTTTAGTACCATCGTAACATGAAAATTAATAGGAATCACGAAAATGCCGGTGGATATATTTTTGAATTTTCGAATGATGTACAATTCAATGTAATTTGATATCGAATATGTATGGTTTTGATGAAAAATGCAAGTAAGATGGAGAACTCACGGCTTTCTGCTGATCAAAAATTTAGAATTCTGTTGCATTTTCAGTGAAATTGGGAATTTCCCAGTTTAGTGGTAACTTTCAGAAGAGAAAAATCATAACTAAGCTGGCGATGAAATTTCATGTTTTTTATAATTGTCAAGCAATAGAAATTTATCAAAATTCTTTATTTTTGTAGTACGTTACTCTGCACGGATGGAGAAATTTACTAGAAAAATCTAGCGCTTTCTGTAAGAAATCCTATCTGGATTTCTATTGAAATTTTATTGAAAGACTCTATTTTTATAAGTTTTACAAGGTTTTTAAAAATTTTATTATGAGAAACAAATGAAAATATAGCTGAGAAAGATTTGCAAATTAGCACCCAAGAATTTCTACAGAAAAATAAAATTCTATTGACTTTTTTCTATCGAATATCTCTTAACAAAATGACACGGCAAAATTGCACAATCCCCCCCCCCCCATAGAAATGGTGCAAAAAATCGATAAAATTTTTTACAAAAATTCTAATAAAACTTCAAGATAATTCTCGTAGAGTTCCAATACAAATTCAATAGAATTTCTTAGACGAAGCGCTAGGTTTTTCCATTGAATTCTCCCCTGCGTGTGAGCATCCCAATTTGTGTTTGAGATAGAAAAAATTCAGGTGGACTGAGTTGAAATGCAATACCTCATGTACCTTTTCGCTCTAACAAAACACTTGAATGTTCATTATTTCGAGCACTATTCACTCGAAAACTGGGAGATTCATGTGCAAGTCAGTTTATTGAATTGGCATACCTTGACCTGCAAGTAATTTTGCCAGAGGCATAGCGCTGTTAAATTGATAATCCCCGAACTTAGCATCTTTAGACTGTGTGATTACAACTGGTGGGTCGACCAGATCGGGGTAAGTCTTGTTAATCGCCTCGAGGAAGAGTTTCTCCAGCTCGTTATAAATACTTATCATTTCTTCATTGGGTTTTCCTAGCATAGCTTCCTTTTCTCTCAGTGAATTAACGTACTGAACAAAAAAAAAGTTATTGCATGAGATTTTGTTCAAGTTCGTAGTCCTCCAGTATAAGTGATTAAATCGGATCATCATTTTTTGTTTTGGAAAACATTTTTTTTTTAACAGAAAAATTTCTGCGAACTTTAGAAAACGTTCAATAGAAAAACCTAGTGCTTTCTCTAAGAAATTGTATTGAATTCCTATCGGTATTCTATAAGAATTCCACTGGAGTTCTGTTAAAATTCTATTGAAAGATACAATCTGTTTTGTGTGCCAATTCCACTAAATATCATGTAAGGTCCCTCCTGTTGTTGAATAGAATATTCGTTTATAAAAAATATCTAGAGATATTGATTTTTCTATATGATTAATTTTGTTGGAATTTTTTTACTATAACAAGTCTAGGCCATGATTGTTTCAAGTTTTTTTCTTGGATTTTATTGGGAGAAATAAATAAGAATACAGTGGAAAAAATTCAGAAATTTACGTGCAAGAATTTCTGTATAAAAATCAAAATCTGTTGACTTTTTTCTATCAGTTGCCTAGACTCCTACAGAGCTGGCGCAAAAACAAATAGAATTTTTTAGTAGAATTCTAATAAAAAATCGCGAGCACTTCACTTTTTTTCATTTCATATAGGGGAGGGCAGGGTAAAATGGACACTTTTGACTTTTTTTGAAATATTCATGACGTGTTGAATTGTTCATGAAATGGAATAATTTTATTTTTTAATCGAAAGAACAATGATTCCTCTTTGTAATGAGCTTAGACTGAGCTCAATTGATAAATCTATTTCTGAGTTATGAATATTTTTTAAAAAGTCCACAAGTGTCCATTTTACCCCACTCTCTCCTACGTCTTTTCAATCTTTAAAAGAATAGAAATACAGCAGAATTTCTTACAGAAAGTGCTAGGTTTTCCTATTATTTTTTTAAAATTATGCTGCCTCCCTCAAGTCCAGAGATATTCGTCAAGGGTTTAGAAAACTTCCATCAACAAAACTTAATCAAAACAACTTGGTACCTAAAAAAACTTGAACTGCGAAGAACCTCAAAAAACTTTGAAAAACTCCAGGAGAATAATGCAAAAACACAAGAATAGAGCAGTAATAACGTTTCAATGAAATAAGTGAGAAATATCGATTATTCTTTTCACAAGAAACCAAAACGAAACAAATAACAACACTCCGGAATCTCATACATAAACGGACTTTACTAATATTCTTACAAAAGACAAGATAACCGGAAGGTTTCATTAACGGAAGTTTAATTTGGTAAAAGTTGAATTAACCAAAGGTTCACTTTCTCAAAGTCGATTTAACCAGGTTTTTTTGACGAAATTTTTTAAACGTGCTCCCATTCATCAGAAATTCTGTATCATACTGTGTCATCATTCCATAAACTGATTTAGCACTCAACAATGGTTGATTGACCTACCCGTGTAAGAATAGCCACCCGGTGCTTCAGCTTCGTATTCTCCTGTTGGAGTTCAGTCAATTCATTAGAGGACGATGCCTTGGGCTTCAGCAGAGTCTTCAATACTTCAATCTCGTTCTTCAACAGTTCAATCTCATTTTCCTACAATAAATAACAGAATTTCAACTCTAAACCGAGAATAACCTGCTGTTTTACCCGCTAAACACGAAATAGATAAAATAAAAAGGAGTGGGCACACTTCTATTTACGAGAAAATTACCGCAAGCACAGCTCGTCTGTGGAACTCCACTAAATCTCCTTTAGACATAATTTCCACTCTATGTGCGATATAATAGATAAATTTCTGTCAACTATGAATCCACGTGGATACACGCTCCGCACAGCCGGACCAACAGTCTTGATCCTTGTGATGTCAAATTATGCGAGACCGAACAGTGGCGCCAATGCAGAAATTAGCGCCAACTTCGAATCCGATTTCGTTGGCAAAGTTTAATACCGACACACTATTTTCTTGATAAAATTGCCAATTGAACACAAAAGAATTCCTTTATTCTCACTCAATCCACTGAAAACTCAGTTGGATCTGTTTTTTTTGTTGGTTTATAGTAGGGAAGGTTGGGGTAAAACGGACACTTTTTTCTTTTTTTCAAATATTAGTGACGGGTTGAAATGTTGATGAAATTTAATCATTTTCTTTTCAGTACAAAGAACGCTTCTTTCCCTTTGTGACGAGCCTAAACAGAGCTCTATTGATAGATTTGTTTCTGAGTTATGAATAATTTTAAAAAAGTCTACAGTGTCCATTTTACCCTACCCTCCCCTATAGAATCCATAACAGGGTTATTTACACTGTCGATAGGGTGTCGTACATTTTCTTTTTACACTGTTTTTAAAAAATACATTTCGCCTTTTATATGCGGAGCTTACATTTTGTGAAGAATTTGTCTATCGCTTCGGAGTCGGTTGCCACCAGAAAAATATTTCAATGATCTCAGTTTGGCTGTTAGTTCTAATCTCTGCGGATTCAGAAGGGGACATTGCCCAGTTTGATCTGATGCTTAATTTCCGCAATGAATTTGAAAATTCTAGATGTCATTGAAATATCAGTGCCCTGGTAAAATAGCCCGATCATTTCCGACCGGGTGATAAAAAATAAATCGGCGTTAATGATTTAGTTTATTCAAATTTTATTTGACGGGAGTCGGTGATTTATCTTCAAACGGTAATAAAATTCCCTTTTCTTTTCTTTTTCTCGTTTTTGCTAATTTAAAAGTGAAATATGCGAATTTTTATCGATGACTCCGTAGTTATCAGCGAGAGAGTGACATGACTCGATTATTTTGAATACTCTTTTTGAAGATAAAGAGTTAAATGCTCTCCAGTCTGTGATGAACACTCTTCCGCGAATGAATATTTCTTATTATTCCTAATTCTGATGTAAACAGATGGCAAAATTATTTTGTCCGAAATTATTATTTCGTGCCAGGCGATGGGCCCGTTTTGTGGGTTCAGATGAGGTCATGAGATTCATATTTGTTAGAGGAAAAGACTGGATGAAAGGAAAGTATCAATCTAGATAACGGTGTGAGGCTTCTCGGGGCAGCCAAAGAGATCTGTATAGTTGCGTGCCTTCGGTCAGGGCAGTCTGTGGGGGACCACGCAGGGACGAAGAGTATTAAAAATATTGCCCCCCTGTTTTCCTCAATTTTCTTTGTTCAACGCGATCCCTGTATCTTCTAATTCAAATCCGCGCATTCGTAAACAGCAGTGAGAGGAACTGCGCCTCTGACCTTGGCCAATTTTTGAGTACGATAATTATTGTGATAATGAGTGGCACTGATCAGTGACTGTGGATAGACCCATGTGAAAAGAAAGATGAAACTTTTGCGTGTCACCGCGACTTACAGTGAGTCATTCAGTACAAACATTGTCAGACTTGATTTGGAATAAGATTACGATGTTAATGTTACAGTGTTAGAAAAAAATTGAAATTTCGTGGACAGTCGAACAGTAATTTTCAGGAGTGACATATGTATTTTATATTAAATTCTATTAAATACGTGCATTATTGCACGTATGAAAAAATTTAAAAATACGTATGAAAAAATGTAATAGAAAAGCCTAGCGAATTTGCTAGACAATTCTATTGGATTTCTATTGAATTTTCTATTTTTTGGCCGATTCTATTGAAATATTTAATAGAAAATATCCTATAGAAAGTCAATAGAATTCGTTTTTTATACATCTTATTCTATTCAGATATTTTCTATAGAATTTGGTCGACTCAAATTTTCAAAGTTTCGTTCACTCATTTTTTTCGTCAAGAAAATCAGTCAAAACAACTGGGAAAATATGAGCCGAGGAAATTTCTATAGGAAATATCTCAATAGAATGAGTAGTATAAAAAAATCGAATTCTATTGAAAATTTATAGAAACCTCAATAGAAATTCAGTAGAATTGTCTGGCGAATTCGCTAGGCTTTTCTATTGATTTTCTTCATACGTGTGAATGCAATTTAAGGGGGAAAAATCATGAAATTTCATTCTACTAAACATTCAATGAAATTCCAAATTTTTAAATAGCAGGAAAGCGAAGAATCCTCAACCTATTTGAATTTTCGATGCAATTCGGAATATTCAGGACCGAATAACGATACGTTTTCATTCAATTGAAAATTCAGGAATCCATTTTCTGGACTTTTCGGAATTTTTACCAACTTTTGGGCAATAATTGGACTGAAATTTACAGTTCTCATTGATTTTTCCCTGAAATTCTGGATTTACAATGACGAAACTCCCCGAAATTTTAGTGGAACTAAAATGTGCTAAAAATTTCCAAATAGTGAACCGGAAATTTCAGCCGAAAACATTGAACAGTGTACATTAGAATTGATTTATACACCAAAAATAAATTCTTCGATTTTTTAATATTTCGTCAAACAATTTGAATACTCAAAATGGAGTATCTACTTACGATGAGTGGGACCTTAATGAAAGACCTGATGCATTTATTTCTATTACCTGGACTCATTCTCGGAACATTGTACTTGTACTTAACAGCGACATTTGATTTCTGGTTGAAATTGAACGTTCCGTTCAAAAAACCTACGATTCTCTTCGGCAATTTTCGCGACCTGCTGCTCTTTCGGAAGTCTCAGGCGGAAGGCGTCAAGGAAATGTACAATTGGTTCCCAGACTCTCGATTCTTCGGAGTGTTCAGAGTGAGATCTCCGATTTTGATTCTGCGAGATCCGGAGTTGATAAAAGCAATTAACGTAAAAGATTTTTCATGTTTTACTAATCGAGGAATTCCAGTGAATTCTCAGGACCCCCTATCAGCGCATTTATTTAATCTCGAGGGGAAGAAGTGGAAGGGGTTGAGATCGAAATTGACGCCGCTGTTTTCCTCCTGCAAGATTAAGCGAATGTTCTATCTGCTTGTTGAGTGTCACGAGAAATTTGAAAAATTAATTGACGCTTCGAGAGGTGTCGTCGAGGTGCGTGGATTGGCTGCCAAGTTCAGTATAGACGTCATCGGCAGCTGTGCCTTCGGCATACAGATGAACGCATTGACGAATGAGGAATCGGAGTTCCATAAGGCGGCGATAAAACTCTCGAGGCCGAGTTACAAGAGCACCCTGTGGAGGATGCTCAGGACCTCCATGCCGAGGTTTTACAAACTCCTGGGGGTTCAGGTGATCAATCCCGAGGTGACTGTGTTCTTCAAAGAAGTCGTCTCGCAGATGATCAAGCAGAGGGAAGAGGAGGGGGGAAAGAGACATGATTTTATGGATCTGCTGGTTGAGCTGAAGAATAAAGGGTTTTTGGAGGGTGATTATGGAAATGGAGGGGAAATTGGGGGAGAGAAAGTTGAAAGGGCTGAAGACATTGGTGAGAATTATTAGAAGATGAAACGAGGGGCTACGGCACTTCATGATTCAGTGACACTATGACTTCGAAATCAAGCCGATTTCACGTGATTACAGCGTTGATTCCAGTGATGCTGTCAGGCTAGAATTTCAATGACGTAAATATCGCGCAATATTTCTGACTTCGAATGATTTCATTAATTCGAAATCATTGATTTCTGAGGAATTCAGTAGCGAAGTGGTAAAACGGTACAAGTCAATTTTGACTATTGACCAGTTTTCAATGAATATCTCGGAATCTGGGGAGATAGAAAAATTTTTGTTATAACCTTTTTTGTAGGGCCGATTGAGAGCTTCAAAAAATGTAATTATGAAAATTTCTCTATCTCCCTTAGATTCGGAAATATTCCTCAAAAACTCAATTGGGAGATAAGTCGACTTGAACCATTTTACCACTTCGCTATTGAATTGAAGTCGTCGAAATCATGATGAATAAAATTCAATAGAAAGAGAGGTGGAGCAAAATGGGCCGTTTCAAATTGTGAAAATCTGCATCAAGCAATGCTATTTAGATGTTGAGAGAAAAGCAGGTTTTGTTTTTCAGAAACATGTCGCTAATTTTTACAATTCAATGACTGATTATTGGTCATAATTCACATTAAAGAATAATTCTGATCATTAGTGATTTTTTTTGTGATTATTTTGTTCTTGAACAACACTGATGATGTATTTAAAAATAAATAACGATTTCACTGAAAATTAGTGATAGTGTCACTAAAAATTTGGCGACGGAATCGTTCAATTTCAGAATTTCGCACTCGTTGAATTTCACAATCGCGAATCCCTAATGATTGAGGATCGATTACTGAAAATCAGCGACATGTTTCCGAATATCTAATTTTTTAGTTTCTGTGTGTGCTTGGTTTTATTTCCAAGTTTTGTAACAATTAGTGTGTTTAGTGGCCTTATCAGTGTGTTTAGTGGCTTTATCAGTGTGTTTAGTTGCACCCTTATGACGATCTAATTTTGTCATTGAAATTGTCATTTAGACGATAAATGCTAGAAAATTCGAGAATATTTCGAAATATTGTCGAAACTAGAGAGTGTATCAATGATGAAAGAGTCCCATTTTTATAAATTTTTAGAGGGTTTCAGAGTGGTTTGGGATACGCTAGAAAGAATGATCAAAGTTGGGAAAAATTGGAGAGCTTTCTAGACGATTGCCGAATTTTTCAGACGATTCCGTACCGTTCTGGACCTTTCTAGAACTGTCTAGAAACTTCCATGAATTCCCGGAGAAACGGACATCTCAAATTATCTAGAGTAAGATGACTGGAGAACAGTACCGATTTCATTTGACCAATCACGAGGTATTGATGATGCAAAACGGCTCATTTTGCCCCACTCTTCTTGATGGAGTGGAAGCTAGCCGAAAATTCGTTTGCCGAAAATAGGAAAGCAGTGGTTCTCACGCTCGACCGAGTTTCCACCCTTGGAAGATGATTTAGCAGATTATTAAAGGCCGACAAAACTTGACAAAACTAATATCTATTAGCGTATTGAGTGCAAGACAATTAACAATTAACCATTTGTTTATTGTAGTTAATAATAATATGTGGATTTTGGGATTTTGGGGTTCTAGAGGTGACAAAACTCTGAAATTGCGAGGGTACCTTCAGAGGACCCCCACAGACTTTTGTCACCCCACAAATGTCAAAAAAAATATCAATTGACATTTTCCATTGATTTTTTTAAAAGTTAATTTTCTGCTAACCTGATTACTTGCATTCTAATTATGACAAAAGTCT